ACATTTGTATACTTATCCTGCATTACTACGTTTAAGGCCCAGCCTTCGCTCGGGCGACAGGCAGTGATGTGAAGAGTTGACCTTTGGTCACGTGAGGTCACGGGGACAGCGACGGCGTGGTGCAAAAGTGGGATTGTGGAACAGAACCTTCACCCAAAGACCATCGCCGGACGCTGTCCCGTTTTTTTTGTCGCAAGGTAAGCAGTGAATGCATTAAGGAGTAATGCAGGATAAGTATACAAATGTAAAAAATATTTAGATTTTACTAATATTGGTAAAAAAAATGGAAACGGAGTAAGTAAAAGTAAAACTCCTAAATGGTTGATTGTTTTACTTATCCTACATTACTCCTTGATGCATTGACTGCTTGTTTTTGACAAAAAGAAGAGCTATGTGAGGTCCAGCTGAAGAAGAAGTTGTTCCAACTAGTTATGTGGTTAACCCAATAAACAGCTCCCACGCTACCACGGAAAGGATGACGTCACTGATCAGCACATAACTGCTGTCACTCAGAAAGAACAGTCAACTGTTTTGTGCTCTCAGCTGTATCCATTACATTCCTTTGCAGTTTATTACATCACTATAGTTTTATGTGAATTATATCCTTCTTATGGTTTGTGTCTTCATATATTCCATATGATTTCTACCATTGCCTTAATATTTATCTCTTAAAGGTGGCCAAATTTTAATTTAATGGCATGGTTGCGTTTTTTCGTGCCATGCTTTCTAAATTCTTTGTGGATGACACAGGTGGCCCAGTCGTGTAAGGCGCCGCGATTTCTGTGCAGAGTTGCGTCCCTTGGGCACCCCAGAAACCTATGATTGTGGGTTGCCAATCCTGGTTCACCCTGATTATGTTTCTCGGTTTGTCAGCACCATACCCATGCTCGTGGGTTTCACCGAAGTGGTAAACATCTGAGACCTGCATCATTTCGGGCTTTTCCTCCCACATTAAGCTGACACGCCGCGATATAACTGGAATATTGTTAAAAGCAGCGTTTAGTTGCTTGGTACTTCAATTATTGTCATACCTATGTTTCCTTATAGTTATTAAAGAGTTTTTTAAGTGTTCCTTTTACTTATCATTGTAACCCATGTGGTTGGGATGGAGATTATGGCATACAAAATCGGGGTGGAAATGCATTGCGATGCGCCGCTACGCTACAAACTTTGGATGATGACCTGATGCAGCTGTACCAACAAACCTGGTCTTTTCCATTTCTCTTTGCTAATAGGATTCAGGAGATCAATGAAATAACCAAGAACACGGATCTAGGTTGACCATTCCAAGCTTCAGCACCAACTGCTGGAAGACAGTCAATGCGATAGACATAGATCGCAGTGTACTCAAGTTTTTTTCAGCACAAAAGAGGTTCCTTTAGTTGCAGCTCTCACCGTGGTCAAGGCATTAAAAGTTTCAAGTCTACCAGTTCTAGGATGGTAGCCTTTACCAAGAGTAAGGACCCCGAAGAGTCTCCCAGTGACAGTTCGATGCGACTGGGACCTTCTGCCCCCAGTTTTAGGCAGAATGCTTGGTTTTTTTTGCAGCAAACTGGATCATTCTGGAAGACCCCTACAGAGGGCTACAAACTAAGCGTGGCAGTTCCACCCCCAGCCTAAGCTGCAAGTCAAGTTTCGGCCCTGCAAGACACAATCCCATCAACTCAGGTTTCTACTCTCGAGTATTACTCGTTCTAAAGAAAGACAACCTGTGCATCATCAACATAAAGATCTTTAATATACAGTTTCCAGAACATCACTGAACTACCGTATGATCTTTTGACCGGAAGATGCATACCTTCACATGCCGATTCATCAGGAGCATCAACAGCACCTCTGCTTCAGATTCCAAGGGATGCATTGTCAATGGAAAGTGTTCTGGAATTTCTATGAACCTGTGGTTATTCACCCACATCACGAAACCTGTCACACAGTATCTTCAATTGTCCAGGGATAGTCTTTGACTACATACAGGCGCATGGAGACCTTGTAGAAGCACCTCAACTTCGCAGGTATGTTGCTACATCTACTCTGTTTGATTATCAACATTCCAGAGTCGGAGATGACCCAACTCGATGCCCACATTTCAGAGGGGCATTATTTGACAACAAAGTGGGCAAGATGTTTATTCCTCCAGACAGATGGATGAAGATACAGATGCAAGTACTGTTGTCCAAACAGTCCTCAACACATCTACAGTGGCAAGAACTTCTGGGCCTCATATCTTCAGCACAGGCTCTTACAGAGAGAGAACTTTGATGGATAGTTTGTTTTTTTCTTTGGCCATTCCTGAAGAGGGATGATTGCAAAACCAGGATTCGCCTCCCAATGCCATTAAACCAGCACCTTCAATTGTGGCTTTGGGAATTGAATGTTTGTGGATGCCTCAATGCTCGGTTGGGGAGCGCACCTATTGGAACAACAGACAGCAGGGCATTGGTCCGCACACGAACAAAATCTGCACATCAACAAGGGCAGTGGTGTCAGCAGTAACCTGTTGAGCAGAAGTTCTGTAAGCCTACAGTCAGTCGGACAACACATCGATGGTGTGGTACACCAACAAGATGGGATCGACAAAGAACTGGTAGACTCACTTCACATTCAGGTTCAAGCCAGGCACATTCCAGGAATTAAGAATGTAATAGCAGATGCTCTTTCCTGACTGGATCAACCATACCTGACAGAGTGACAGCTACATCTGGAGATATTTCAATAAATTTGCAGGCTCTGCCGAACCCCAGACATCGATCTCTTTGCAACCCGATACAATGCTCAGCTACCAGACCCACATTAATGTTACTATTTCTACCACACTCAAGCCAGCTTCATCTGTTACCGGAGAAGCTGCATCTCTGTGTCTGGCACAGAAATCTCTGATCGCTAAGGGATATTCTAGAAGAGAGGCTCGATCTATCACAGATGCACATCATTCCTGCACGAAGGCTCTCTATGACCACAAGTTGGCATTTGAAGGTTACTGCAAGACTCGGGACATTCAATCCCCGACCATAGCCCCACCTCAACAGATCGCTTAATACCTACAGTAATTGTGAACCTCAAGGAAGCTAAAGGAATCAACTCAATGAGTGCATCGACCACTGGATTGAAGATTTCCAAGGTAGCAGAAATTCAAACCCTGATTTGTTGGTACAAGCAAACTTTCTGTCTTCAACATCGAAGTTGTCACAAGGTGTGGCTGTTTTGGTGGTGTCTCAAACCCTCTACCTGCTCACCTATGTCTACGGAATACTTGTGTGTAGTAGTTGGTTTGAAGACCCGTACGGTTGTGGTTGATCATTCTTTTTCTCATTATCACTGCAGGTGTATTTGATAGTTTTAATGAAGTGAAAAAGATATGCCAAGCTGTTCGCCTAACGTCTTAGAGCGTATGTTGCAGGCAGTATTGAAAAACTTTACGGGCCAGACCAGGGATTATTTGCCTTTTGTCCGTTGGATGTATGTGGGAGAGCAGTCTTGAAGAACCTTTTACTGACCAGACAAGGGATGATTCCCTCTCTCGCGTACGTGGGGTGGGTTGTAAGTTGTTGCTGGATGGGCATCCCCTTGTTCAATGCTACGCAGTCACTCATTAGATCTACGTCTACGGCGAAGACATGGAACACAACTTACCCAAACTTATGTTAAGTACGTCCTAGTAGCAGAAAGGTTTTTTTAGAAGCAACCCATACATGAGTTTTCGTCTTTGATGGCCCTAGTCGATGTGACAATTGCCAGATTGGATCATGGTTTAGGGCTGGCTTCCTCGTGTGTCTCACGGTTGAGGTCTTCTACAGGCTTGGGTATCTGTACCCCTCCTACCAACCTTAGGAAGAAATGCATAGTGTGAGATAGAATTTGTTTTTAAAAATTGAATATTTACAAAAAATCATAGCCATCCCTGCATCACAATTACAACAGCCTGAATGCTCTACGAAAGAGTAAGCTTGGGACGTCACATGATTAAGTTGCACGGAATCAGGCAGTACACAGTGCTGTGTTTGTATGAGGTGTTTTTGTAGGCTGTAAAGACGTTTTAAGATTGTTTACACACAGGAATCAGAGAAGAAGGGATAAGAGGTTTTCTGAGATCACAAACCAATCTCAACACAGAAATGTGATGCAATGTAAATGCACCCAACAATCATTATATATGAGAATGGCATGAGTGCAATGCATGAAAATTTATTTGTTTTTGTGTCGGGAAACTAGATATACCTGTGTAGTACACAGGGAATTCTGAATGCACCCGGGGGCACGGGTGGCCCAGTTGTCTAAGGTGCCGCGATTCGCTGTGCAGAGTTGCGTCCCTTGGGCACGCCAGAAACCTATGATTGTGGGTTCGAATCCCGGTTCGCCCCGATTATGTTTCTAGGTTTGTCAGTACCATACCCGTGCTCGTGGATTTCACCGATAAACGTCTGACACCTGCATCACTTCCGGCTTTCCTCCCACATTAAGCTGACACGCCGTGATATAACTGGAATACTGTTAAAAGCGGCGTTAAACCCAACTCACTCACTCACTCACTGAATGCACCCAAGGGTGGGTGTGTTACAGTTAAGCAACAAATCAAACACAGTCTGGGTGATAATTTTGATCTTTTTATGTTAATGTTTTGGTATGGGCTTCTCCTTAAAACCTTCTTAAGTATCCAGTGTATTTAAATCTCTGTTCTATTATCCTACATGCTCCAGATGCATTCACCACCATATCTCATTTCTTAAGCTTTGATGACAAGATGCTAAAAATGGAATCCATTCCAATTACACTGTCCTTTCATGATTGAAACAAGCTGAAGAATCACCAGTACTCTATTCCAGTTCAGTATGTTGTCTCGAATATAACTGTGACGTCACTTCCAAAACAAAGCTATGGAGGCATATGGGTCCATGGTATATAAATGTATCATAATAGAATGGAGATATCGTTTACTTGCTAATTGAGAAGGCCCAAAAATAAGAAAGAAATTTGCTTGTGCTTATTCACAATCTTTGTTGTAGGGCCACTTGCTGCTACAGATCATCACCAAGTTTGCATCAGCATACTGTAACACAATAGAAGGAACAGCCAAAAACATAGAAACAGCAGAGCTGTGAGTAGCCATCTCATGTAATATATAGAATATATTGCAAAAAAAAAGTATTGCTTACAACACGGACTTGTTATATAGGTCCATGCTTACAACAAGCACAACATAATAATGTTTAGGAGAATACTCAAATATAGTTGGTTGGTTGACATTGTGGATACCTTTTGATCCGTGTTTGGTGTAAAGATGAAGTCTTTTGCTGTTATAATAATTTATCATCCAAAACTGGCTCCCACAGGAGATATCGGGTGAGATCAAGCGATATCTACACTGTAGATATCGCTGCTATGAAATTGCATCACAATGCTTTGCAGACCATTGTACAATCAAATGACATCACTAATGGCTCTGCTACTGAAACTGTTAGCAGTACTTTTTACACTGAAGACACTGCTAATTACTGTCTACAAACTGAAAAAGTTGGAAGAATGATGTTGGATGATAAATAAAATCCCTCCCTCATGTCTTTTGATAAGCAAGCCTCGGAATTTTTCCACTTTTATCAACTGGTGTTGATATATTTGATATCAAAAGACACTCGGGTGAGATTCTCTATTTATTGGCCAAACTCAGATCTCGGTGTTTTCACCATCCGTATAAATAGTTGTATCATATCATATCATATACATTAATAACAAGGTTGGTTCCAATATTTTGACATGATCATGATGATGCAACAACTGCAAAAAGTTCATTCGTAAAAAATCTCATCCAAAATTACTGTCTTCCAACAGCATTACCAGATATATTGAAGCCATAGTCTAAAAGCTCCAGACAGGGAAAAAATATTCCATCCAGGACAAAAATTTCAAGTTGAAAAGGGAAGCTCATTTATAAACCTATTCATTGGGATCGCTATTAAGTAAGAGACTTCTTTCTATAGGCATTAAAACCTATTGTGAGTCGGGTTAAATCTCATAAACAGGGACGTTGTAATGTCCCTGGGATTTTATATAATATCCCAGGGATATTATATGTCCTGGGTATTTTATTAATATAACTTCCGTTCAGATTGTAACATGTAATGAAATGTAAAATCAAATGACAAATGTTTTCTTCATATTCCCGAGGATCGAACTCGCAGCGTGTTTTCTCCAATACATAAATTTATTGCTAATGAGTTTCAGTTTAATATATTACTCAAAATAAATTTAGAGAATACTCAAATCTGATGGGTTTGTTATGTAAACAGGCACTATTTGACCCACATTTTCCTGATGTAAAGTAATATTGGTGTGACTCAGAATTAGAGGGTCAAGAAATATTTTGTCATATTTTGTGTATTTTTGTGGTTATGAAATATCATAAGATGTGACACAAGAGCAGTTACAATACTTACACAATAAGGTGATGCTACATCTTTGAAAATAAAAAAAGTAAGATGAGCATGATAATTTCCAGAAATGGTCAATAGAGCGGAATATATAATGGGCTTATGATGTAGTGCATTGTCTTGACTGGTTGTCTGTCCGATTGTCCATCATCCTAAATTAACTTTTACCCTTTGATCATCTCCACTGAAACTCACGTGTGGAGCTGAAACTGTCTGTATGATCACAGCTTTGGGGTATGAAAAACTGCTCACAGAATGCCATTCAGACTTCAAACATGGTGGCCATATTGAAAAAGTCATTGTTAGCTCACCTGACTATAAGTCAAGTGGGCTCATGTTGTGGCGCTTTGTCCTTCTGTTGTTAACTTTTGTATTTTCACATCTCCGCAGAAATGCCTGTGGAACTTTTTTTGAATGATTTTATGATGTCTCAAAACCAAATTGAAAATGTCATTTTTAGCCATTACTCGGCCATTTCTGCATGCATGTTTTATTATGATACATCATTATCATTGTTATACAGACAGTATGTTGTTTTCGGAATAACAGATCATACTATTTTTGGCATGTTTGGACAAATTGACTGGTGTGTCTGTTACCTTTTGGCTGGTCAAAGTCAAAACAGCTGTAGTTCCAGTCGTCAAGGCAAGGGCTAGTGATCTGCAGCACTTTGGGGGACTCTTCCTTGTGCAGGACTACTTAAAATGTACATCACCCTGTGACCCCCCAGAAACCCTTCACACTGACTTTTGCAGTTGAATGAAATGTGCACCTTTGACATGCTCTTAAATATCTTCTTTAATCTGCTTGACTGAGCAATAATGCATGCAGGATACCGGTACCTCTCATTAAGATATAAATTATGTGAATTTAATACCTGCCGTGGTGTTGGCTGGCAGGGATTACAACAACTTCAGATAAGAGTTAGTTCCCCATGGTTCGATTTACGCCAGGGATTAACTGTCTGACTTTGAGATTGTCAGCACACCTTTATTCATTTCTATTACATTGTTGACAAGTTGACAACTATCACAATACTATTGAAATGGTGTGGGTTACTATTGCCAATACAATTACAATTGTGAAAATGGCCCCAATAATCTCCCCTAACACTTACCTCTGTTTTCCTTGTGGTACTTCATTATCGTCATCTCTTTGAAACTTCAAGGCCTATGGAGCTGAAACTTTCACAAAATTCTAATCTGACTTTTTAACATGGCAGCCATTTTGAAAATGACAGAAAGACATTTGTCCTTTACTCAGGCATTTCTGCATGTATGATTGTGAAATTTGATATGCAGCAAATATGTGTTATGTGGAATACAGGGATAATTCTAGGGTTGGGCCTTGTGCTTTTAGCCCCTAAATTTGAAAAAATGCCCGCATTGTTTAGTACAATGGGGCTTGTTAACATGGTGCTGTATGGTCAAGTGTGGGTGTATTTCTGAAAATGTCCACATAAAGGGCCCATGTCAGAAAATTATCCTAGAGTGAACCCTGGGAATAAGACAATATGAATATAGGCAGGTTTTTACCTTCACATACTCATGTTTCTGAGTTTTCAACATCTGCTATGAAACTACAAGGCTGATGCAGAGATGTCCACCATTATGATTTTGGTGTAATATTTGCAATTTTGAGCCTTAATTTATGCGATTATGATTGTCATCCCCAATTGATAATTTTCTTCAGGAATTAATTGCATGCATAAAATATTGAGAGCTAATTATTAATTTCCCATTGACAGTGAGACTATGCTGCCCAATGACAGCCGTGCTTCTAAATTAACATGGTGTAAAAATATCTATTACTCAGTGATACAAGGTCTCTGATTGGTTGTTATGTTGAACACACACTCGATCATTTTATCCAGCAGTCTTTGTGGATGCAGACAGGGAACTAATTGCATGTACACAAGATGTGTGAGGAATTACCGGTATTCTCCACTACCATGATATGAAATACTGATGAATATGTATCACAATACATTTGGACAATACCAGTATATTGACAAAATGTGTTTTTCAATATCATGCATATCTTCAACTTGTTGGAAAGGTTTTTGTAAGCGACATCAATGGACAAATTCAATTGAAATTATGAAATTAACAACTGAAATTAACAGCTGAAACATGCATGAATGATCCCATCTATAGTGTCTCTAAGAAGTACACAGAATAATGGCCACCATTATTTCCTCATAATTTAGGGAGGCACGAGTGCTCAATCTCCTAAAGTGCTGCAATTCACTGTGTCCTGAGTTGCATCCCTTGGACACACAAAAAAACCTATGATTGTAGGTTCAAATCCCTGTTTGCTCCTATTATCCACTCACATTATTTGTTTTTTTCTTCTTTGAAACAGCTTCATGGATTCAGCTGAAATTGTGTGTGGATGTTGGTGGGTTTTTTGCTGTATGGGAGTTCATCTTTGATCCAGGCTTTAGAATTGAAATTTCAACATAGCAGTGATATTGTAAAGAAAATTAATATCATTTTAGAATCTTGTCCTCCAAACTTTAAAGGGTCAGAAGTCTGAAACTTGGTGGTTAAGTTTGTGACCATGTGTTATTCACAGTTTGTTCAAGGCATCTTGATCAGAAATCTGCTATTATACGTCATTTGTCTAAATGACAACTTTTCCCCAGGTTTCACTGGACCAAGGAATCTAAAATTGGTTCAAGAGGTTCAAATCCGATTTTTGATATGGCCACAACAGCCATTACTCAGACTTTTTTTGTTCAAATACAGACTGACACAGTTACTATCAACCGAGTTACTACATGTCAAGTTTCATGAAGAACTTTATGGTTGCGAAATTAGGTCTATGATATGACATTCCATGAATATCTTTTTTCAGTTGTGGAGGAGCCAGAATTTGTTACATATTTCATGAGACATTTGGCAGAACATTGGAATCGGTTGACCCACTTGGTGGTTTGTCAACTAGAGATGTACTGACAGCCATTAGAAATGCAACGGTGAGTAAACTGTAAAGTGTCAAACTGACTGATTGTAGTTTGTGTTAAGAATATAGTCCGAGGGAGTCTCTTTTTTAGGAATTGGACAGCTGTTGACAATGATTCATTGCTCACTTAGACTGAAAGTTGGAGAGATCTCATGTCATGGCTCATTGTCCACCCATCTTAAACTTTTTGATTTGCATGAATTCTGAAACTGCAAGACCTCAGGAGCTGAAACTTTGCTTGGATGATCCCAGCAATGGTGTCTCTGAACTCCTCACAGATTGCTTATGCCATTTAAGTTTTTAAGTGACATTTGTTTTGCCCATACTTACGAAGATTTTGGGTAGAATAGCAATAGTAGCAAACCATGCTTGTCTGTAAGAGGCGACTAACGGGATCAGGAGGTCAGTCTCACTGACTTGGTTGATGCATATCATCAAATCCCAATTGCATGGATCAATGATCATGATTGTCTGGTCCAGACTGGATTATTTACAGGCTGACTTCATATAGCTGGAATATTGCTGAGTGCAACGTTACACAACAAGCAAGCAAGCATTTTTGCCAATTACTTGTCCATTTTGCACATATCATTATGACATTAATGCAAGTACATGTATGTGGAATGCAGTATAGGATTCATTTTCTTGTGATCATATTTTCTATTTTAGACTCAGCTTGCAACCTTTGACATCCCCTTAACCCTGTAATCTAGTGCCCTTCATTTTTGTAATCTCTGAAGTTTTTTTGTTGTTTTGGCCTTTGATCCAAGGAATGTTTTCACATTTGCTCAAAGAATTTTTATCTGATTTTATACACTTATCCCCATTTCTCAATCATATCAGCATGTAATATTATAAAGTTTGATATTGTCATTATTATTTTGTATGACTATAATTAACACTTTTTTTGTTATGTATTGTGATATTTGTTTATTGACCATTCTGTACTGCTGCTGGATTAAACATCAGGTGGGCTATAGAAATACAAGGTTAAGATCAAGAGAAACACAAATCCCACTCAGAAGTTACCTGGTTACACTTTCCTTAATTGTTCACGTAAATGCTTTTTTCATCAACCTGAGGATGCTTGGATACACAGGGTTTATTCTTGAAAATAGTCTAAATCGCTCAGTATGTGGAAACGTCACTGATGTCACAGGCAGGGGTAATCTGCTGACAATCTAACTGTATGTTTGAAAATATCACTACTCATATGAAATAATGTTACAATGTGCCCCTGACAATAAATTAGACATACTATTAAATCTGTTTGACCATGATGTATGCTCCCATGACCAGGGGACAGTAGTCATTAAGACATGCCACATATAAGTTTCTCAGTATCTTTTATATGAGGTTTTCTTGATTACCCTTTGATGTTGCGCCGAATATAAGATATGATTAATGAAACTGATGGTATGCTGTTGAAGAAATAACCACCTGATATCATCATTTTGTGTTAGTATTCCATAAATAATAAATGTTTGTTTCTTTGGGATACAATGACATGCATCAACCAAGTCAGTGAGCCTGACCACCCGATCCCATTAGTCGCCTCTTGCGACAAGCATAGTCGCCTTTTACTGCAAGCATGGTTTGCTGAAGACCTATTCTACCCCAGATCTTCATGGGTCATAATAATAAATGAATAGATAGGTAAGATAATGATAGATATATACAATCATATTAATAATGTTGAGTACCAACCTTAAAGCCCCACCCTGACTATAAATAGCCCATAAGGTGGCGGTGTTTCAGTTTCGAACAATGGCTGACAATGTAAACACAACCAAGTGTTGGGAGAAGCTTTTTGAAAACCGTACGCAAACAAGATCACCATTGACTGTCAAACCTCGTATCAACTTGAAAGACAAACCCTGGATACCACAAATGACTCCATATCTAGATATCAGTCAATAAATTTTATGGAGTTATCATAAAAAATCGAATCGATCGTGTTTGGCATCTGTATCAATCACAGTGGGCGGAGCTTATTTACGGCTGCGCTATAAATAGCAAAGCACATGGTCATGTGTACATGTGACACATTCAATGCATTTGTGGTCAAATTGTTATTTGATGCATATATTTACGGATGAACAGCAGCACAACAACATTGTCAGTTAATGTAACAATAACCTTAATTAGCGACAAGATTAAACATTTATTTCGACAATAACGTAAATATTTGGGTATTTGTTTGATTACTTGCATTCCAGAGTTAGGCCTATCATATAAAACACAATAGCCAGATCACATTTTTAAAATGTTTATTAATAAACAGCTTTACAAATATAATTTTGACATATGCCAAATTTTAAACTTCAGAAGTTGCGCCAATATATCCTACTTTGACAACAATACATGAACATGTCACATGTATCAACATAACAATGCACAAAAACAACTGATACCAGCAGGATGGAAAGGCAACGAAATAGGACCAAATGCTCTGACCTACAATAGACCATTCTACATACATGTATTGTACTTGTACTTATGATAACGAAAAATCCAATGCACATGTTCCAAGACAAATTAAATCACTGATTTCCTTTTCTTTCACCATTTTTTCACACACCAAACCGAGTTTTATAATTAGATCCACATGTGTCCCATGTCTCCAAGAGCTTGGTCTATTCAGCTCAGGCCAGAAGTATTTGTAGCGCTGTTTCCGAATCGACAAATTTCTGCAACTTGGTGGGGTGCCATTCCCTAACCACGACTGTCTGTGCTGTGTCGCGCATGGTTGACAAAAACAGTGAGAGCAGGCATCTTCTCCTTCAACTGGCTTCACAATGAAATCTGGCTGACACTGAACCACAAATACCAAGAATCGGCAATGAATTTGTCAATGTTTCTGTTGTACTTGCAAGGGCGGGAAGAGAGGAACCATCTTGTTGATTCGAGTTGGCAGCCGGAATTATGTCATCTTCAATTGGAACTTTCTCCATGAGAAAGTCATCAATGTCATAATCGAAATGACCAAAGGCTCCCCTAATCATCTCTAACAACTATTCTGTCAAATTTAGCATCACACGAAAATGTTTGATGCTCATATTGAAGACAAGGTAACCTGCAAACTATTTGACAGTTGTCGTAAGCAGTAATCCAGTTTGGATGCGCGCTCGGGGCGTTGTTGCTAGGAGATCACGTGGTTGGAAAGGGGGCATGCAAAAAGTTTTAGAAAGTAATTAGAAGAAACCCACATTGGTTTCAACAAGTCGTGCCTTATCCCATTTGTAAAAGATATATATAAATAATGGCAATCTAAAAATAGCATGTACATCATTTTTTAATAATAAGATTAACGAAAACGAATCTTTACTATAAAATACATTTTTATTTGGTATTGCATCCCGGGGTCATAATCCTGATCACGTTGGTGTGTCGAAGGTCACCTTCATTCACAAGTTTGTTTACATAACATTGATGCCAGATTGTTTTTGTATTTCAACATTTGATGTATTATCAGTGGAAAAAATGGATTAGGTTGTGTGTTGGTTTTATTCCAGACAGATAGTTATTTTTCAGTTCTGTGTTTGCGATCAAAACACACCAAACTGCACCTTACTTCGCGGACAAAATTATTAATTATTATTGTTACAGGTTGTGTCGGTATGTTTCGCTCGTATTTCTGTAAGTGTATGCTGTATTTCAAGACAGATTTGGTTTGTCGATTGCTTAACGCCACACTCGTCAATATTCCAGCCATATGACGCCGTTATGGAAATAATCGAGTATGTACCAGACAGTCCAGTGATTGACATCATGAGAAACACACCTTGCTTCGCGGATAAAGATTTTGCAAATGCTCCCGCGTGCTGAGCTCACTGTGTAGTTCAGATTGTCATTTCGCTGTGAGGAGCTATTGTGACATACTATGTCGTACTAATCGTACTTTCACTATCATCGTCTACTAACGTTTCTGGAGGTATTCGTTTTTATGTGAGTGATGAAAATGAGAAATTGTCAGTCTATAAAAAGTTAGGTGCTGTTAAATTGACCATGGCTGAGAAAATTTCTAAAGTTTCTAATTCTTTGGTTTTCTGTGAAGTGTTTGTACAATATGAAAGATTTTGTACACATGCTAACTTGGGAGTTTGTTCTGAGGCATTCGTCAGTTCGCTTTATGCTCATCATTGAGACATTGTTAGTGATATGGCTAAGGAATCGTGTGATGAAGTGGCAAATGAGGCTGTGTGTATCACATTGTTGAAATCTATTGATCAGAAAGAAGATTATCGAGGCACTGACATTATAACAGATGCTCATCATGGGTGGGAAAAAATGCAGCTGAGAGAGACATCGTCGCTTTGAGTTGCGAGACCAGGAAATGTGTTTATGCTGCAGTAGTTACAAGAGAGGATGATCCGTGTAGCCAGCGACATGAAATGCATGGTATTCAAAAATTGTATGACCATCTTGATGAAAATAATGTTGAAATCAATGTTCACGCACATGACAGAAATGCTAGTGTGAACAAATATTTATCAGAACATCGTTTGGAAGTATGTAATGCAAATGATACTTGGCATGCCACAAAAGGAATCAGCAGGGATTTGAAATCTGTGTCACGGACCCGCGAAGTTTCACAGACTGATGTGGCACGAGGAACTTTCGGACAAGTGTGCCTCCGTCAAAACACATTGCTACTGGGCAATGAAAACGTGTGACGGAAGCGAAAAAAAAACTACTTTTGTCTCTTGACAATATTACTGACCATTACCAGGGTCTTCATGATCATTGTCATCCAGATTCCAGGTGCAGGCAAGACAAACATTATCTTCCGACGAAAACACTGTTGAAATAACCGAGTGCTGTTGATAATTTGAGAAATGCTATTCACAAACTCCAAATATATCGTTCACCACAGGATTACATTTGGTGCCGTGACACACATTATGTTGAATGTTTTAATAACATTGCTCTTATTTACCACGACAAACGTATTTCATTCTCGTCCAGAGAATACAAGCGCAGGACAAATTTGTGTGTGTTAGACTGGAATGA